ACCCAGGCCTGTCTGGCAGTTGAGTTTAATCATTTTACGATTTGGCCTACTATAGGCTGGTACTTAGAAAAGCACTTAGTAAATTTCAATTATTCAAAGATTTTAAATATTTTCCTTTAGCCTGCTTTTCTCCAGGTGATACATTCTCCATTTTTTAGGCTATTATTTGATAGGATATCATTTCCCTATTCCACTCACTGTTTCATTCACTGTTCTCATGGAGTAGCATGTTTTCAACATTCCTGTAAAGTACAATCTCTAGAGTGGAAAGTCATGTCCACAATGGGTATGAAACTGTATTCCATGATGCTTCTCCAGCCTATCACATGCATTTTCTGCCTGTTTCTGAAGTTTTATCATCCTACCCGATAGGCTTCAGGAACTTGTGTGAGATGAATGAGTCAGTGTAGAATCTGAGTTCAACATCTTTAGAAATGTTCATAAGGACATTGAGATGGGGATATGGCTACACAGCCCCTCCCCACTTCACTTGCAAGGAAAAGCGACCATAACCTAATCGTAGTTAAGGGTCTCTGTGGCCTGAGACAGAAAATGGTTAGTGTTTAGTGGCCTGTAGGAAGACAGTCTCTTTTATCTGCATAGTGGAACTATAAAATCAAATCTCCAGTACTGAAGAGCATGAATGGAACTAGTAGGGTCACAGCAATCCCGTCTATTTGTCTAGGACTTCTTTCTCATCAGATGGGCCCCTGAACTAAATGTGGTAAGATTAACAAAGAAGTAGGACAATGTTATTTTTTCATATGTTAAAGTTTTTCTGGTTCTAAATGAACAGGGTGTGGCTACTTTTGTTTCCTTTTACTACTTCATTTTTCTATTTTTAGCCAAAACTAAATGAGTAGATGTTTTTTATTTCATATAAGAATGATTTTCTCTTCAGTAAGAGTTGAACAAAAATTGTGTGTGATAACAGCCACCTAATATTTTTTTTATTAAAATGTCCTTCAAAATAGTTTGTCATGGGTGACATATGAAGAGAGGGACTACAGATGATGAGTTTTTTGATGTAACTGGTTAAATTCAAAAGCAAAGGTAGCTCCATCGTGAGCATAAGGTCTTAGCTTAAAAGGTGGCTTTCCAGAGAGGCCTTTTTAAAGCAGCGCACTAATCATTCCCAACAGACTATTTAAAATAGCTTCATTTCCTTCATTTGTGTTCCTATCAGATATTTCCATGGTTATATTTGTTTATTGTCTATCTCCCCTCCACTGGAATGCGAATTCCAGACCTTGTTTTTTGTTATCCCCAATGCACAGAATACTGCACATAATGGTGCACAGTATTTGTTGAATAAATGAACCTGTTTTTGGAAACAAAATTGTTACTCCCTTACTTTAAGCTAGTTCACAGTTTATGGTTTTTACAAATTTGCTCCATGGTTTGTTCTTTACTGTTGTTCAATCTGTCCCCTTCTCACTGTAGATTTATTTATTTGTGGATGTAATTCAAGTTCTTTCTGATTATGCTATATTAGAGTGAAGAACATTTATCAGATGTCAGTGTTTTGTGTAAGGTGTATTATGAGTAGTGTTTTGTCAATAAAATAATAAAGCCTGTGGATTTATCTAAAGAAATAAGTTGCAGTGAATTTAAGTATCTGTTTTTTTTTTTTTTTTTTTTTTAAATTAATTACTGTCTTGTGTTTTCTTGAGTGGGAGACAGAGGGGCTGCCAGGACTTGTTCCTGACTTTGGGCAAGTATATTAAAAATATTAAAAAGAAAGAATGAGATGCATTGCTCTAGAGGCAACTTTTATATCTGCTGCCTGGGCTAAGAGGTGTGAGAGTAGCAGGAGTGAGCTCTTGTTTCCGCTGAAGATAAGCCAAGCCAAGCCAAGCCAAGCATGGCCTGCACAAGAGAGGATCCCATTGGATACCTCTTAACTAGGTTTGGGCATGTGGTTAAGTCTGATGGGTAGGTGGAAAACTCAGTGCCAGGTGCCCTGTGGGTGCTCCGTAAACATGTTAATTTTAGCAATAATACTGTGCCTCTTACCAGTACTTGATGGTTTCATTTTGCAATCCATGCAAGGAGGGTGGGAATCACCACTGGAGTTGGTAAGGTCTGGCACAGATGTCTAGAAAAATAATTTCATTTCTCATGTTTTTGGGGATGGGGACTGAAGGGGAACAGTGCGTTTCTTTGTGCCCTGGGAATTGCATGTCCTCATGTTTTGGCCTTGACATAATCATCAAATGAATTATTTAAGGTTGATTTGTTATTCATATATTTCTTTCTAATTGTGAGGTTTTTTTCTTACATTGCAAAAGAGGTTTGAGACCAAAAAAAGTTCTAGCTTATAAAATCCAAACTATCATAAGCTTCACAACAGTCAGGACAAAATGGCATTATCAATCATAAACAATTCAGGAGTTGGTAATGATATTTTGATTTGTTTTGTGAAATATTGATTTTTTAAGATAAGTCCCATATATTTAGAGTATTAAGAACAAATATTAATACTTAAATAGCAAAGGTACTTATACTCCAAAACTTAAAAACATTTAGGAGACTATATATCTGCCTGTGGGCTCAATAAATAGATGTGAAAATATTTTGTTTTATAGTCACATTTTATTACAAATTTATTTTTTACCCAATAGAAAAGCAAATTTAGAATCTATTTACAAGTACTATATATTTACATATATACAGTTCATGAATTTAAAGAAAATGGACAGAGAAATGCAATATATATGGAAGAATATGCCACTGTACAAGGTTTATTATCATTATCATGGTCCTTAATGTTACTGAACCTTTACTATAGTAATAAATACAGTTCTATATTTACACATCTTATAAAACATCTCATAAATGTATTTTTTCAAATCCAAGTTAAAACATCTGATCAAAATAAACATGCTTATATAAAAATAAATCTACCTAACAACCATTTGGTTTGGATGTATTGAAGCTAATATAGGATAATAGAAGGTAAGAATTAATACTTGGACTTTTCTTATTTAATAACTTGCTTCTTAAAATACCTAACACAGTATTAATATCGAATAAGCAGAGAAGTAATGTTCCTGACACAAGTGGGTTATCCAGAGAGAACACAGCTAAAACCAAGCTAAATAAACAGGATAATATGTTACTGAGTCTCTTGAGTCCAAAGTGGTGTCAGATATTGGGTTTGCCAGAGCTGCTAGAGAGGCATGTGTGAGAAGTTGTATCAGTGGACTTAATTTACGTCATGTGCACATTTGATCATTAAGATACACATCGGTTTGAATCAACTGATAAAACCTCTTGCAAAAATTATTTACTAACCCAGGAAAAAAAAAAACAACAACAAATTGCTTACTGTCTTTTCCAGGTATGTTCATTGCTGGCAGTGGAATTCCCTTCTGAGCTTGGGGCACCAAGGAGTTAAAAGCAAATCAGATAAGACATACATCACCTGTGCATGATTGCCTTAGTAACAATTTAAGAATTTCGGTCAATTTTCCTTTCAAAATATTTGTAAGCAGTTTTATTCCATGAGGGTGGAACCATCTAGTGCTGATATATAAAACCTGGTATCTCTAAAAATGATCTCAATATGAGTGAGTTAACAATACCTTACATTATCCATCCAAGGGATTGGTGCCTTGGAAGGATCCTTTCTGAGGAAAGGCAAAGGAGGGCTCAGACATCTTCACATGGTCATTAGAATGAAATCCTATGGATCACAGCCTCTACCTAGTAATGCAGTTCATTGAAAACCCTTATTTTCCTAGTTCCCCCAACAACCTCTTGAGTTTGTGGGTTTAAATAAACCCATTTTTGGAAAGTAAGTGGGTTCTCCCTCCTCCCAAAATGATTACATTGGTGAGTTTAAAGAGAATGCAATTCAAATCATGGAGAATCTTTTCTAAAGGAAATTTCAATCCGCTTTTTTGATCTGGGCTCACTTAAATAGTGTGACCAATCTATCCCTTAGCTGAACAAATTATAGAAGCAGCATTTAGACTTATATTCACTCTCAAGTATCAATAGGTTTTCAGCCTTTTCTCACTAACTGAGAGATGCTTTTTTGGTTTTTAAACCGAGTTTCACCTCAGCTCTTATTAGTTACTGCTCTGATATACTCAATCTCACATTTTCAGGTTCTCAACTTTTGAAAACATTTTCTTTCACATATTAATTAGAGACATGGGACAAATGCCACAGAGGAAAGATGGCAGCTCTCAGTCACTGGATAAGCTGGTGATGGCACGGAACTGGGAGGCAGGTCATAAGCAATGCTGGAGCTGGTAAAGGTTACCAAGGCTTGGGTCGAGTCACAGGACTGTTTTTCGACATCATCAGAGTTAATTGACATCAGGCTTGGGTGTTTTGATCTTGTCCAGAAGTAGGTTTGCTTTCCCAGGCTCACCAGATCCTCCTTAAAGTGAGGATTGAAGAGGATGTAGAGAAGGGGATTGAGACATGCAGGAAGTGGGACTATCACCAGAAGGATAAACTTAATTACTTCAGGACTGATAAATGTGAGGTTTAGTAAAGAGGAGAAGGACAAGAAAGCCACGGGGCAGTATAGGATGCAGTTGGTGAAGAGCAACAGGGCAACGTGCTTCACCATAGAGCAGTCCCAAATATTCTCCAGGTCTCCCTTGTCCAAATTGCAGTAGAGCTTGGTGTAGGCAATGGTCATCATGAGGAAGCAAAGGGAATTGAGCAAGATGAGAGCGACCATGTAGCCCGTGGTGCTGGGCTCCCCAAAGGGCAAAGGCAGGCAGAGAGGGGAGGCGCCATACTCGCTGCCACCCAGCAGGGGAACTGCGGCCATGGTCAAGGCCAGCAGGGCGCAGAGCAAAATGATTACTTTCAGGCTAGAAAAGGGAGCTTTCGTTTCAAATTTTGCAGAACATTTCACAGAGAACCCACGCTCCAGGGCTGCCAGAGTAAGCAGGAAAACAGATGATTCCGAAGCAAAAATGGACAAAAAACCAATGACTTGGCAACCGACCCCATTCTCCCACCAGGCACCATGTCGTGCAAAGCTGCCAAAAGTGAATGCATCCACACCAGCCAGCACAGCACTGGAGACTCCCGTGAGCATGTTCACCACTGCGATGACCCCAATTAACAGTTTAATGGGGGAAATGTACAGAGGAGATCTGAAAACTGTTGAAGTCACCAAAGCATTACAAGTAAGTGCCAGAACTGCTATGGTCCACACTCCAATTCTGATCAGCCAGCCATCAAGCAGGTGTTCACAGGGTTTGAAGGGGCCTAGAAGTCCAAGGAAGGAAAAGATTGAGTATCAAATTAGGGTTTACAACTTTTGCTGAATTACCCTTTTGTCTCCTTATTTAGGATGCCAAGAGATAGTGGTCAAAAACAGCCTGATAACACACAGTGCCCATGTGCATGCTCCACTATCTCAAGCCACTGTCACCCTGGATCTTCTGCAGCACTAGCTGGGTGAGTACACCAGGTGCTCCTGTTCCAGGGTATTGATGGAGAAATGAGAATGGAGAATTTTGATCACTTGATTGAAGTCCCTAAGATACAGCTGTGTTGGCGCCAGGTAAAAAGCCAGATCTCCTGGACTTTTCATTACATAACTTTTCAGAATATTTCCACAAGTTTCCATAGGCAGACAAGGAGAATCCCAGGGGAATACTCCATAATATTATGAACGTGCGTTTCATGAAAATATCATCTTAGTTTTAGATTAAAATTTGAGGTTAGGGAGCAAGGAACAATCTATTCATTAAAAATAAAATATCAACTCTTCCTAGTTGTCTTTTTTCAACTGGCTCATCCTGTTTTTTGGAATGGGACAAACTATTAAGTGAATTCAACTTCACTTTCCTCCCCTCCCTTCCCATCTCTTCCCCTCCCCTTCCTCTTTCCTTTCCTTTCTTCCCTTCCCCCCTCCTCCTCCTCCTCCTTCTCCTTCCTTCCTTCCTTCCTTCCTTTCTATCTGTACAAACTATTATTTGCTTTTACCAAATAGTTATTTATAAGAAAAACCTAAGTCACTTTCAAAAGTCGGTGATTACACAAAACAAGATTATAGCATACTATTTCAGGGTAAATTGCTAATATCATTTTAAAAATTACATATACCTCTAACAGCATACTTGATTCTTTAGTTTACATTAAGTTAAATTAAAAGTCCTCCCACCTCAATCCTATTGGCAAGTGAAAACTCCAGGGAATGAACATTTGTATTTGACAGGCCACTATGGGGAGGGTTACTGATGAGCTGCATAGCTGGCACAGATTTGGCTTTTAAAGTATAGCTGCATTGTTTTTCATGGACTCAGAATCAGTGGTGCATACTGCTGTTAAGGAAGTTTTGATGCCTTTCTCACCTGGGGAAGGTGAACACTGCACTGAATGAAGGGCTTTCAGGTCTTCCTCAAAGTCAAGCAGGAAATCTTCAAGGTCACGTTCATCTGCAGGCACAAGAAGTCCTGGAATGATTAGTTCTGCCTGTCTTTTCAAGGGACCAAATCCCAGAGTGGAGAGTCCTGGGTTATTCTGGAGACATGAACTGTCACAAATTCCTTGTGCTCTAGCTTTCTTGCAAGTCCCTTATAAAGTTGCCTTTGGATGTTCGACTCAAGCTGCTGTGACATACTATTCTAGTACAACTGAGGATGAGGGAGAGTGACCCAAGACTCCGGGTATAACATCTAAACTCTCCCATTCTGCTCTTGTTCCCTGCAGCTCATGATGTTCCCACATTGAAGAGCTAAATTAGAGGAGGCTATGGGCCTCTTCATTCAGAGCAGAAACCACTTTATCCAAATTTCTAACACTACAATAGCTATAGTGCAAATGTTCTAGGCTATGTTCTCTGAACACCAGAGGGAGAATCAGATACAGTAAGTTTCAGTCTTCCCTGGGGAATTCTGCATAACGGAGGACAAATCAAGTAACTACTTGGTGCTTGGTTTAGCTATCCATGAAATAGGAGTTTTGTGATCTAACATATTTCCCCAAAGACACAGATTTAATTGGTCTCATGTGGGAATTGGGGACCAATATTTTTTAAAAGTTGCTATGTGATTCTAATATGTGGTCCAGGGTTGAGAATCACTGCTTTTGAAAATAAACTCCATGAATGACCGTCTCTCTCTGTTGTTCATTGTGTGCTTTCAAGGCCTAGAACAGTGCCTGGCACAAAGTAGGCTCTCTAATAACTTTTTGCTTGTGTTTTTATTTTTTGAGTGAACATTTTTGAGAGACATTAGAGTGGGTGAGGCAGGAGGAGCAAAAACTGAAGCAAGAACAAGAACAAGACGCATGCTGTGGCCTAAAACAAAAAAGGCAAGGACCAAGATATCAGTTCCTTAAACAGATACGCAGACAGGAAAACCTGGTAAGGTTATCTGCCGACAGACTGAATCATACTTGCTTTGGAATCAACAAACCATTAAGGCCCAAAGGGTGAGAAGCCATCCTTCTGTTTAGTCTGTTTAGACTTTGTGCAAACTCGCAGGGTGGGCAGGGAAGGCAGGGGGTGGTGCCCAAAGCGCCTCCTCATTACCACAGGTGTGGTTTGAGAGGCATTGTTGTCTGTTTAGGTAACGTCTTAATTCAAGGAAAGCCAAGCTTTACAGACATTATCTCATTTCACCTTCCGGACAGATACCCCGGGGTGGGGTAGGGGAGGAGAATGATTTAGAATCAGTTGGACAAAAAGTAGGATTCTTAAGCCCTTCTGCTGAAATACGAAGGAATCTAAAATGTTTATATCTTTCACTCCTTCCAGGCCATAAGAATGAAAATGGATTTTGTCTTCTGGAGAAAAAGGTTCTGAAGTGTGTATGAAAAAGGCATCCTCCGAAATAGCACCCTTTAAAAAGCTGATGGAAACACCATGTCAGTAATCACCCCTGAGGACAGTATATGCTAAGCGGGAATCTAATTATAAATATAAATATAAGAATTCACCTACAGAACAGATGAAATTTTAGAATGAATCCTGAGCGAGTTTTCTCTTTCTCAGGTAGTCTTTAAAAAGTGGGATTTATTCACAATTTGCTGAGGTACAAGGACTTGTCTGAAGTTCAGATAATCTGTTTGATAATTATTTTTTTCTTTTTTTTTTTGAGATAGTCTTGTTCTGTTGCCCAGGCTGGAGTGCAGTGGCGCAATCTCAGCTCAGCTTGCTTTGGAATCAACCTGCCTCCCGGGTTGAAGCGATTCTCATGCCTCAGCCTCCCAAGTACCTGGGATTACTGGTATGCGCCACCACGCCTGGCTAATTTTTTTGTGTTTTTGGTAGAGATAGGGTTTCTCCATGTTGGCCAGGCTGGTCTCAAGCTCCTGACCTCAAGTGATCCATCTGCCTTGGCCTCCCAAAGTGTTGAGGATTACAGGTGTGAGCCACCACGCCCGGCCTGTTCGATGACTTTTCATCGAATGTAATTCATTTTCATGTGTTCCATCAAACACAACACAATTTCATTACCATGGCATAGCAAGTCCTACCTTGAACCTGAAACATTCCAGCATCTTTCTTATGAAGGTCGTCCATACTGCTGTTGTCACCTTTATTCCATTGATTAGAAATCTTATAGGCATTCTCACACACTCCAAATGCACAGCACTGGTAAGCATAAGGCATTTCTATAATCCTTTAAATGAACAAAACCCAAACAAAAAACACTTAAAGAAATGGATAATTAAATATAGTATTCATCTTCTTTCACCCAATTATTCTACCTTTGGATTTTAGCCTAAATAAACAATCAAAAATATAAGGTATGGGCATAAAGGTGTTCATTACAGTGCTATTTATAAAAACAATGAAGTTATTAAAAATGATCACTATGAAATCTTAATTGCTGAAGCTGAGGGATGCAACTTCCATTACTCAAATGATGGAAAATTTCCAAAATAAAAAGGTTAAAAAAATGACTGCTAGGAAAAATTGTAGCAACATGAAAAACTGCTTATGGCAGAATAAGTGACTAAAATATGACATCTATTTCTATGCACATTTTGAGTCTAACAATTAAAAATGCACTGGAAACAAAGCTTGGAAGGAAGTAACTTAAAAATGTTATTTGGGGGGCATTTTCAAGATTTTTGTTCTTGGATGCTTAACAGAGACTTGGAAGGGTAGACTTTTGGGGAAGTGGGGCTGGTTAATGAGTACAAAAATAGGAAGAATAAATAACACCTACTATTCAATAGCACAACAGGGTGACTGTAGTCAATAATAATTTAATTGGGCATTTTAAAATAGTGTACTTGGATTGTTTGTACCTCAAAGGATAAATGCTTGAGGGGATGGATACCCCATTTTCCATGATGTGCTTATTACATCTTGCATGCCTGTATCAAAACATTTCATATGCCCCATAAATATATACACCAACTATGTAACCATAAAAAATAAAAACATTAAAAATTTTAAAAAGATTTTTGTTCTCTCTTATAATTTCCCAACTCTCTTTTGGGGTTTTATTATTTTCGTAATTTTAAAAGTATGTAAAAACTACCGTGGGTTAAAAAATACACAATCTTTCAGGATACCTCTTTGTCAATAATAAGCATAACCAATTTTAAGCAGCATTACGTCCTCAAACAAATATTAATTTAGTACATTTTATTAGATACATACAAGCTAAATTAAAAATCGTAAACAAGAGTAGAATAATGTTATAATGTTATTTAATGACATGCCCTAGTTTATATATATCCCACGGATCAATGGTTTTCAAACTCCTCCAATGAACTCTGATTCTGGGAGGCATCTTTGAGAAGGAAAGGAAATATGGTCAGGAGGACATATTTTCCCACTGCAGGGCTTGTCCTAACAATGCTCCAGGGTTAGGAGACTTGAGGGCATGAAATGCAATTCAAAAGGGTCTCACGACCTCATAAATTTAGAACACCACTATAATACCTCTATTATTTCACATGACCACAAATGCATCTTATTAGTTTTAATGACAAACTCACTTGAGTTCTGGAAAGTTTTCAGATGATATCAAGCTCTGTAAGGCATGATTTCCTGTTAATTTTAAGTGAGTTAAACCATGTAACCCAGTTACAGGAAAAGACGACAGGAGGTTGGACGATAGGTCCCTGCAAAACATCACATAACAATTGGCTTTTAGTCTATGTTAGCATAAAACATTTATGTTAAAAAAAACAAGAACCCAAAGATCGTTAAACTACTCAATAAAAACTTCTAAGCAGCGTCCTTACTCTTAACGGTAAGTATTAAGAGTAAACGGTAAGTAACCATTTTGGTTTAGCTAGGGATAACTTTTCTATTCACAGTCAGGATTGCAGGGGAGAAAAGGTTTTAATTGTATTCAAATTGTTCTATATTCAGCTTCATTTTGTCAGGTGGGGACGTCTAAAATCAAGGGGAAGGTGCTATATTTAATTTGAAAAGTGATGCTGACTAGATTAGAAGTGAGAAGTAAAAAGTGTAGGGGGTGTATTTACTCCCGTTCCTCTTCTAACTTCTGTCTAACCAATTTCTTCTTTCTTTATTAGATAACAGATGGGGAGAGGAAGGAGCAAGAGATGGGAAGTTGGAGCAGGGAAGGGACGGGAAGGTTCTCTATCAGTCAAAATGGCATAAAATAAAATGGAAGCCCTTCAGACCTGAACTGACATCTTATTCCATTCCACCTGATTACTCAGCAAGAATAAAAAACTTTGGCTGAATAATGAGAACCAGGTGTCACCCAGATCAATTATCCACTTAAGGGCCCATGTGGCCCTGGAGGAGCAGAACTCCTCCTTGGCTCTGACAAGCTCTAGGCACGGAGAACACAGAGGGCAGGTCATCTGCGCATTTCCAGCTTCTTCAACAAAACCAACTTTTAAAATTAACTAGATGGTCCCCAATTATTAAGAGACATGGCATAAACAAGTTATGGAATACTCACAGCTTTATTAGGGATGGCAAAGTGGAAAATGCATTGGGGTGAATAATAGCAATTTTGTTCCAAGCCAAATTCCTATTTTGAAAAAAGGCAAATGAGAGAATTAAATAGAATCAAGAACATGTGAAGTTTTATCATAGGCATTCAGTCTTCTACCAAAATTAATTTAATTTCCATTCAGATCAGAAACAATTAACTTATCAAACTGCCCTTCAGATTAAGATGTTAGTGGTATAAAATGACTAATGAGAGAACTTTAAATCAAGCTTGTTAAAACCAATTAAGGAAACATCATTCAGGTGGATATTTTGGTTTTTACTCTTGCTAAAAGGTTAACTTTAATATGGTTGTAAAATTTTATTAGGGCCTTTCTAAAATGAGTGGTTGTAGCAGTGTGGGAAGGGACAGAAACTTCTGAGTCTCTTCTTCTGACAAGTAAGTTTTAAATTACAAAATGTCCTTGGATGGGTAATGAAACTCAAAAAAATGTGGGCACATCACTCATATATGTTAGGCCTTGAGAGAAACACAAAGATGCTTTCAAGAAAATTTCCAGGAAGGATACTGACAAGTAAATTATTAGCCAGGATATGAATAAAATAGGGGCCAACATATGTTAGAAATAAAATTCTTTGATAGTAAAGAAAAAGTACAGTTTATGGGGAAATAAAATTCACTTCCCATGTACACGTAATGAACTGCAGATAATTAAGTAGGAATAAAATCTTTTACAAAAACTTCTGTAGATAATTTATCAGGAATAAGAACTACATTTTTAGAAAGGAAGGATGAATTTAAGATTTTTAATTTTTGTAAATGACTAACAATGGTAACTAAGATGTAAGCATTTGAGAGAACTGAAAGTAAACAAAGTCAACTTTTCTCAAGTGTAGAAAAGTTGATGATATTGGGCTCCAGGGTTACCTTAATAAATGGTATGCACAAAATATTTACATTCTCATTTGAAAGGTTCCTTAGGGACCTGTCCTCCTTTCCTGGAGGAAACTGGAAGTCTTTTCCTTGATCCCAGAACAGAAGAAAATTGCAGCTAACAAGGGGAGGAAATGTATGGAAGGCAGAAAAGCTACAAATGGCGGCTGGGCTTTGGGTAATTGAGTGAGAAGACTGTCTTCTGTTGAGCTGCTCAAGAAATACGTGTCACTGAGGTGAGCAAGTAATACCATCTGTCAGAGTCTTTTTGGCAGCTTTAAGTAGATCACGGTGCCCTGGGAGAGCTTCACAGAGCAGAATATCTGGAATGTAGGCCAAGTCCTGCCATGGTGCTTAGAGTGATTTGACTGGGGTTTAAGTAAATATGTGAGAATTTATATGTTCAAAGGCCTGTAATTCCTTTTCAATTCATGAGCCTGTGTGCTGGAATCCTCCCAGCAGCCCCAGAGGAGTCATTTTCTGCTTTCCTGCCCTGCTCTGTGCCTGGGGCTGATTCTGCAGGCTGCATCCCCAGAGCTCCCTAATGGCCTCAGTTGTATTCTCAGGAGAAGCCCCAGGAGGAAAGGGAGGTCAGGGCCCTCATGGTCTTCTCTTCCCTGTTTTGGAACCATCTCTCTCACGGCAGCTACAGACTTCTCAAGGGCTGCAACACTTCTCCATGCTTAAGCTCTTTCTGTGTCCTGGAAACATCATTTCCTCCCTGTGACTCTAGCCCCAGATGTTACTGGTTGCTGCACACCTATCCTTTGCTTGTTCCCTGCCAGCACCTATGTAAGTGTCTTTTCATTTGAACTGTCTTTTTAAAAAATTTAATTTAATTTTAAGTTCCAGGATACACATGCAGGACATGCAGGTTTGTTACATAGGTAAACATATGCCATGCTAGGTTTGCTGCACCTATTAACCCATCACCTAGGTATTAAGCCCTGCATGCATTAGCTATTTATCCGGATGCTTTCCCTCCCCCTGCCACCCTGATAGGCCCTGGTGTGTGGTATCCCACTCCCTGTGCCCATGTGCTCTTATTGTTCAGCTCTCACTTATAAGTGAGAACATGCAGTGTCTGGTTTTCTGTTCCTGTGTTAGTTTGCTGAGAATAACGGCTTCTAGCTCCACCCGTGTCCCTGCAAAGGACATGATCTTATCCCTTTTTATTGCTGCATAGTATTCTGTGATGTATATGTACCACATTTTCTTTATCCAGTCTATCATTGGTGGGCATTTGGGTTGATTCTATGTTTTTGCTATTGTGAATAGTGCTGCAATGAACATATGTGTGCAT